GGAGAGCGGGGCCAAGGGGCAGAACCCCCTCCCTCACCCTGCTGCCCACGCTGCTCTGGATGCAGCCCAGGACACGGGTGGCTTTCTGAGCTGCCAGCACACATTGCCAGCTCCTGTTGAGCTTCTCATCCACCAGTACCCCCAAGTCCTCCTCCTCAGGGCTGCTCTCCAGCCACTCTCCATCCACCCTGTGCTTCTGTTTGGGGTTGCCCCGACCCCCGTGCAGGACCCTGCACTTGGCCTGCTTGAACCTCATCATGTTCACACAGTCCCACTTCTTGAGCTGGTCCAGGTCCCCCTGGATGGCATCCCTTCCCTCCAGCGTGTCACCCACACCACACAGCTTGGTGTCATCAGCAACTCACGGAGGGTGCTCAGTCCCACTGTCCACGTCGCCAACGGAGAGACTGCACGGCAGCAGTCCCAGTACCAACCCCTGAGGCCCACCACTCGTCACTGGTCTCCACCTGGCCATCGAGCCGTTGACTGTAACTCTTGGAGTGCACCCATCGAGGCAGTTCCTTACCCAAGGAGTGGTCCATCCGTCAAATCCACGTCCTTCCAACTTAGAGCCCAGGACCTCATGCGGGAGTGTTGAACGCCTTGCGCGAGTCCAGGTGGACGATGTTGGCTGCCCGCCCTTTGTCCACCAACGCTGTGACCCCATCATGGCCCTCACAGCTCCAGCATCTCTTCCTGTGGCCGCCTGGGTTGATCTGAGACCTCAGATGTTCCGGCGTCTCAGAGGGAAGGGCCGGGCATGGACGGGTCCAGGGAGCTGAAGCGGACATGGAGCGGGACCGGGATTTATGGAACAAGGGCCTCTCCATGGATCCCACCACACCACAGGAGCTCACGCTGGAGCCGATGCTCGGTCCCACCTCGGGCAGCCCCAGGCTGGGTGCAGGTGGGCGACAGAGCAGGGTGCAAGAAAGCCAATGGGATCCTGGGGTGCATGAGGAGGAGTGTGGGCAGCAGGGTGAGGGAGGGTCTCCTCCCCCTCTGCTCTGCCCTGGGGAGGCCCCATCTGGAGTCCTGTGTCCAGTGCTGG